GGAAGGAAGGAAGGAAGGAAGGAAGGAAGGACACAAATAATAAATATAGGAGACAAGGAAGGGAGGAAAGGAAGGAAGGAAGGAAGGAAGGAAGGAAGGAAGGAAGGAAGGACCTCCTTTGCTGGTGGAGCGTTGTCTCGATGATCGACGGTGAGGACGCGCTGGGGGGGCAGAGCTGTCCAGATGGTACCTGCTGATGACATTCTGATTGGCCAGCACCGGAGATGATGCTGCGTTGTTATTGGTCGGCTCGTCCCCACCTCCTCCACCGGTCTGGCGGTTAGTACGGGAAGATGAACGTAGACTGAGTTTTCGCCGGAGTTCAGGAAGTTTCTTCATTTTTAAAGAGAGTTTCCGAACAGTACCAGGAGACCTCAGCCTGTCCATCACACTCCCAGCTCCGCCCCCTTTGTTTAGGGAGGTGGGGCTTGAGTCTGAGGCAGGGCAGTCTGTAACAGATGGATAATCAATTAGCAACTCACTTCAATCACACAGCAACTGGTGGAAAGAAGCAGCTTACCTGAGATTTCTTCTCTAATGTCATGAACCTGGTGACTGACGCTTGGATTGGCGCCCTCCTGTGGACACTCACAGCTGCAACCATATCCTCTGAGATCTGCAACCTCCTGCTCTTCGTCCCTCCTCTTCCATACCTCCTCTTCTGTCGGTGGGCCTCCTCCATCCTCCTCCTCTGGGATGGGGTTGTACCATATGTTGCTGCTGCTGTTCTCCTCCAGAGGCCCAAACTCATCATCCGGAGCCTGGGACTTTCCTGAAGACAGAACCCATGCTCGGCTGCTCCGCTCCAGGCTCTGCAGGTACGCCCGCTGGCCGAAAAGCTTGCCGCTGACTCCTGGGGTGGGAATCTCAGTGGCTCCCCCTGAAGCTTGGGAATCTTCCTGCTGGATACTGGTGACTGCATCCCTAAGCGGCACGGCTTCAGCATGCGCCTGAAAACACGGCAACATGGGTTACAACCTCCAAGGGAGTCAAGCAGCAGAATCCATCCCCAAACTGAAATCAAGCTGGAGTCAAACTGGAGGAACCACAGAGAGAGAACAATGATGGATCAACAGGAACCACCTCCCATCTGAATACCTTGTCGATCCAGGTCAGCCCAGATTCATGGTGGGATATCCATGACGACCACTGATCAGAGGTCATGTGGGTGGAGTTCGGACAAGAAGCTTCCTGCCGCACCCATTGCTGTTTCTTAGCAACCGTAATGTGATTTCGAGGAGGAGAGCTGGGGCCAGAGTGGGTGGTGGTTACAGTGCTGGATATGATGTTCAGTGATGGTGATGATGGAGACGTCTGAATGGCGGCAGAGCTGACTGGAGGCTCTGAAGAAAACAGAAAGTTGAGAAATGGACCTTCAAGTTCTGCATCATCAAACACATGAACACGCCGTCTGCTCTGGACAACCTGCTGGCGTCTCACGTTTCCTTCCCTGAGGCTCACTTAGCTTCAGCTCCTGCCTTAGCAAGGCTTCTCCGTTTCACTGGTTAATGGTACTGTTGCCTTCCTATTCACTCTATTGAGTCCCTGAAGGGCAATTCATTTGCAACTAGGTTGGGGCCAACACATTCACACAAACACCTTTATGCATTACTTAGACAAATCGGAGACATACATCAAAAAATAAAAAAAAGAATACAAAAAAAACCATGAGCTGATGTCAAGTCAAGGCATTAAAGCTAGAGTTTAGTTAAAGACTGACAGTGGGGACACCAGACTCTAATCTGTTCGTTCTGCGGTGGAATCCATCAAGACCTTTTTATAGATTGGAATACTGATCTGGACTTGACTTGGTCTATAATTTCATTCAACTGAATCCCAATTATTTTTTCCAAATCTAGTTCTGCATTCTTTGATAAAAGCTCTCTTTCTGTAGAATAGGACATCGAGGGTTTCCACCTGGTAACGCTCCTCCAGCATAGACCAGGCAGTCAAGACTTCAGGCCGGCTCACTGACGCTACCCTACGATAGTTTTAGACTCCAGGTCACCACCAATCTCTCCAGGATTCGACCAGGTTCACCTGCTGAGAAACAGACTCCAGCAACTGGCAGCTTCATCGTCAGAGACATTAAAGACACCAGCAACCAGTGTTGTGTTCAAGACCACCTAACCCGAGACCAAGACAAG